AGATTGCTCTTAGTCTGTCAATACTGCTATTCTGGGTTTCTTGTGTAAACTACACTTTCACTACATGTTCCCTTTGGTAAACAGGCTGAATAGTAGCTAATTATTTTAAGGATAAATTACCCGTATTTCTGCTTATCAGAAACATTTCCAAATGAAACAGGAATAAATAATTAACACAACAATTTTAAAAACCCTGTAAACTAGAATACATTTAAGAAAATATGTAACATCCCAAGTAATAGCTTATTTTCAGAAGCATGTCTTAAAACACTGTGATTAATACCCAGAAGTGTGTATATAAAAATAAAACTTAAGTGCTTGGTGATAGCACAAGTTTATGTACATTACTGTAATTTAAGGAAATTTAAAGATACCAACACACAAAGAAATTAATACATAAAATATGAATACTAAGTTCGGTAGTATAAAAAAAAATACAAGATTTGGCTATCTGATGATGATATAAGCTTTCTATTAACACTATATAATTGGTTTACTTCATTAAGAATCTTCCCTTTCTGATTGGGGGGGTGGGGTGGTGGTGATAATGTTCCTTCCCCTTTTTTTAAAGTTTAAGGCTAAAATATGACCAGCATTTTTCAAGCACAACCTGTATTTAGTTTGAAATTTTTTGTTCAGGACCATTTTTTTCGGGATTTCTAGAGGTGTGCAGGCCCACAAAAGAGGTCACTGATGCACATATAAGTTTAAGGCATTCCCAGAAGCATTTGACACATACACATCCTGTATGCATGTTCTGAATAAAGCCCTAAGTCCAGCACACACTGAGTTAGTAGGATTCTCCCTGCTTACTCTGTACTTCTGTTTGACAAATCTAGGTCAGGCATATCATGGCTCTAAATTAGTGCCTTCACAGATGAGCTTTTGTATCTCTGTTTCACAATACTGCTAAAGCTACTGAAATAAACATTATTTTTGTTCAATATTCTGTTAACCCACAAAATAGCCTTTAAGAAGAGTTTTATCTGTAGTATCTCAAATAACCGTCTGCTAATGATTGGCAACATATCCTATATTTTAAATTTACATAATTACTTCAGTTTCTTAAAATTGTTTTCATCTTTTGTATTGCAAGTGCTGCTTTTCCACAGAAAAGCAATCTTAAATTCTAGACAGGCCTCAAATTGTTGAGCTTTTGCTAAAACACAAAAAGTGGAATAGTCATCCTAGGACTTTCCTAAGCATACAAATCTCAGTTTTCAAACGAAATTATTTTTAAAATCAGTTTAATTTCACTTGGGCAGCATCTTGCATGGACATGCTCTAAATTGATTTATGTCTGTCTTCAACTGATTAGGCTAAATGAATATTATATACACCTGTAAATTAGTTTAAATGTGTTCATGTGAAGTTTTCACCACTTTTGATAAATGACTAAACTCTTTAAATCCAGTGTAATTTCCTTAAACCAACCTTTAAATTCTAATTCAGATCAAAATTTTCATTACAAAGACAAAGTCAGATGTTCACAATGTTCAGCTTTGTCCACTAGACTTGAATGACTAGTGCCCTCACTGTATAAAGTTGTATTTTATTCATTCTCGTTTATATATAGCCTTATGAAAATTTCTTATGTTCAGTGTGGAATTTATCTCTTTTTTTGTAGACAGCTATTCTTTGGTAAATATTTAAAATACTTCTGATTTTTCCTTTAAGCAGCACACAACAACAAATTTTGATTATTTGTGTGTTGTAAAGTAATTGTCAGGTTCAAGAGTTATCACTGAATTCAGAGCAATCCTTGACATAACGTATGGATTTATTTTTTTTTCCTGGCAAGTCATATTCAGGTTAGAAATATAAGAGATTTTTAACACTGACCTAAAGCATTCTGTTAAAGCATATAATGCAATTTTATACTACATTTGGTTTGTTGGTTTTTAATTTTGTGATTGGGGAGGAGGAGAAAATGCTTCCGATCATTTCAAACTGGAGCAGTTACAATAGCTATTTTTTCAGAAGACTTTGATTTTCAGTTTTATGTACTGCTGACTGAAACACTTTCCAAAGGTATATTACATGTGACTTCCATGCAATACACAGTGGGGTATAGTTTTTTACAGGTCCAATGGCTTGGTAGGGGTGAACAGTTGTTTTTATACATTATTTCTAATTGCATGTTTAATCTCCCATGATTCTAGTTTAGTTAAACCAGGCTTAAAATCAGGATCTCATAGTATAATTAAAATTACTTTAGTCAAACCTGCTGCAGCATTTGAGGTAAAGAGGAGGATTGTATTGTTTCAGTTTTGCTGTTGTGATCACTATTGAAAGCTGACTTGGCAGAAAGGAGTCCCTTTTTCTAGATAAAAGGGAAACAAGCTATGAGATAACTTATTGATGAAATTAACTGCTGAAGTGGAGAGGAAATGCAGCTGGCCAATACATGTCATAGTGTGAGCTCTATTAAATGAATATATGTGCAGTCAACCATTCACAGGAGCAACACTGGTCTTGAACTGCATTGATCTATAGTATAATTCTAAATGAAATTGATGGAAGAGAGCAACATTGACAAGAAGGGTAAAGAGAGCCATGAAATGTCTTGTACAGGAAAAGTATGATGGAAAGCAGGCTCATCTATGCCATGGATAGGAAGTGCAGTGAAACTGTGGTATTTCTAGATGTTTCTAGGTACCTCACTCTTATTATGTAGTGCATATCACTGGACTCTTCAAAAAGTGCTTTATAGTATTTTATTTTTAGAAGAGAATCCGTAAGGAATCCTGTCAAGAATATAAAATCAGCTTTTTGAGAACTTTAGATACAGCTTTGCAGTTTGCAGCTCTATGCTTTGGATGAAATTTAGTTGTGATAATGTGTTCTGAGAGCTGTTTAACATTTAAAGATTTGTTTAATTACTATGCACTTAATATAAATACAGCTGTTACATGAAGGCTTGTAAGCTTCTTTCAAGACTTGTGCAAAAATGCTGCCTTCTAGTCAGATACAATTTCAGGTGGCTTCTCAAGTATGACCTTTCAGACTGTTCTCATTGAACTGCTTAATTTACAGGTTTTGATGAATAAAACATTGGGTTCTGTTAGATTTTACTTACATCAGGGTCCATGTGTCCTATTAAGGAATCTCTCTCTTAATTTTTGTCTTCACTGGTAGGTACCCTTTCCTGATGTATTGCTTATTAGAGTAAATGCTTTTATCACAGTGTCTTCTTGTCTGTGCATGTTGTGGTTTAAACCCAGCTGGCAGCTGAACACCACACAGCTGCTTGCTCACCCCACCCAGGTGATGGGGGATAAAATTGGAGGAGTAAAGGGAGACTTGTAGGTTGAGATAAAAACAGTTTAATAGTTGTAATAAAATAAAACAATAACATTAATAGGGAGTACAAATGGGTAATGCACATAGCAATTGTTCATCACCTTCTGACTGATACCTAGCCCATTCCTACCTAGTGATCCCAAAATACCAAGATCCTGCAGTCACAGTCCTGGAAGTGAGAGAAAGAACCCCTTCCTTCCCAGCCACCCCTTCTTTATATACTGAGCATAACATTATATGATATGGAATATTTCATTGGCTAATTTTGGTCTGGTGGTCTGATTGTGCTTACTCCCAGCCTGTTGTACACCTGCACACAGGCAGGACCTGGGGAGCTGGAGAAATCTTGATCTCTTGGCAACAACTGAAAACATCAGCTCATTATCAGCATTCTTCTCATACCAAATCCCATATTCAATCTAAAAACTCTGTACTAGTCTAGCTACCGAGAGGAAGAATTAACTCCTATGCTAGCCAAAACCAGGACAGTGTAAGAAGACTCAAACCCCGATAAAGTCCTTCGACAATGTTTTTTTCAGTTTAATAGCTACCATATCACTTCTAGTGATGAAACTGTTAGTTTTTATTGGATTGATTGAAATATAGGAGGAATTGTGGGTATATACGCATGTAAGTCTATACACATTGTTTAACATTTACAAATAACTAGAAAATTCTATTTTCACACTCATAGTACACAGTAACAATAGTGCATACAGTTGTTGGGCTGTAGGTTAATGGAAGCTGTAATTACTACTTCAGAAATATTTAAGGTTTCTTTAGTGTAGCAATTGTCAAGAGTATTGCTAAAACTTTACCACCTTTTTTTAAAGGCTTCAAACTAGATGGAAATTGTAGCTAATTGTGTATGTTTTTAATAGATTTGCAATGTTCATGTGCATTCTTTTTTGAATCTTACATTAGTAATCTATGTAATAGTCTATGCTTGATGATACCCAACAAACTAGTTATTAGGGCAGGGAGAGGCTGTGCACTAGTCTGTTTTCTGTTTCTTGAATACTAGTCTTCTGTCTGTCAAGCATACTGATTCTTTTCAGTATGTATCAGTCTGTACCTTGAGCTTCCCTGGTATCTTAAGTACTGTGCATGTGTTGACAGGTTTCATTAACCTTGGATGCTTGACAATTACAGATGATTCAAAATAATTTAAGTGTAATACACTGGGGTCCATATTGTTTTAAATAGTATCCATATGAAGGATTTATTTTAAAATATAATTTTCAGAGAAGCTGGGAGACTATAGGAAGTTTGTGATGTCATACCAGCAAAGAGACAAAAATCACAGGCATCAGTTCATTATTCTCTTGTGTTGGAATTGTGCAAGTGATAATTCCAAAAAGAAAAAAAAAACCTAAACCTGTTTAAAATTCAGCCCACGAAGTTGCATCTCTTCTGATAACATTTGCAAACCTGTTAAGAAACCTGTAAAATAGGATTTCTCTCCCTCTTTTGTAAACAGGATATTGCTAATTTTATCAGAAAAAATACGCTATTGTGATATATGTAGCATTCCTGGAAGAAATACACAGACATTCCAAAATATGAATCCTTTTATATGTAGGATGTTTATTTAGAAATGGTTGCACATTGCTTTATTTTCACTCTTCTAAATTTTTTAACCCAAACTGAATTTTTGAGATCAAAGTAACTGTTTGATGTCTCTTCATAACTCCTAGGTTCATGTTTCATTCGAACTGACCAGCTCGATGGCGAAACAGACTGGAAACTAAAGGTTGCTGTCAGTTGCACACAAAGATTACCAGCGCTAGGGGTAAGCATTTTATCTGTTTGCTTTTAAGATATCTTCCATGTATGCATATCTATCTCTTATCAAAAAGACTGTTACAATTATTGTAAGTACTGAAAAATACCTGTTACCACAGACTTAGTTTTTGCAATAAATAGGAGATGGGTATCCAGCTGAATGTGGAATGAGAAGTTGGTTATGCAAATACTCATGATTTTACATTGTAAAGAAACTGAAACAGTACTGGATTTTTATCATTCAACGTATTGGTTCTCACTGTGGTTACCACTGAGATCCATACTCTGCAGAAGTGTGTCACAGTTGTAGTGTTTTCAGCCAAGAGTTACACTGTAAGTGCCTCAGGAACTGGTGCTTTAATCACTAACTTGTAAGATGGGGAAAGAGCAGTTGCTCTTGAAGGTAAAGTGCTTTTTGTTATCAATATGCTTTCTGGTCTGACTAGGTGAAATGTGCAAGTTTGTGCAAGAAAGGCTCTCTTAAGAGTTGCCTTAATGTGTGTATTTTTTGAGTGTGTATATGTGTTGTGTCATGGGTAACTATTAAAATAATGAAAAAGGACACATATATGTCTGTGTATATAGATATACATTCAAAACAGACATGTGTCTACAAAAATGTATGTAGAACTGTATAAATGTCTCAATGAGAAGCTGAGTTGTATCCCTTGTACTAGGGAAGCTTGCTATTCAGGAGAGTTGGCTTGGTATTGAGACTTCCTCTGAAAACATACTCAAATTACAAGCTTGTGGACATCTACCTGTACAGAATTTCTGGTGTTTTGACACTAACAGTATTTGACAGTATTTAGAGGACTGGGGACAAGAGATGGAACTGAAGATTGGTTGTGCCAAATCAGGCTCCAAGACTGGGAGTTCTGGTGCAAGAACAGACGTTGACAAGTGTTCTGTAACCTGCAGTTGAATTTAGTGTTTGTAACAACGCCTTTCCTGTAGATTTTTACCATTTAATCATTGGCCTATCTTGTTTTCTCATTAAAAAAAAAAAATGACAGATGCATGCATTTAACTAAAAGCCAGTCAATTTTCTAACTTGCTTTGATTTTTTTTTTAATTAAATAGTGCTTTTCAGATAGTTACAACTGTGTCCAACAGCTATAAATTTTTTATTTCCTCTTTGTTTTGGAAGCATCACTGACTGCACTTGGCAAATACAACCCTGTGCAGAGCACTGACTCTTTGAGTTCTGTTTGGTTATAATTTCAGTGTTCTGAGCATGGAAATGTCAGTGATCTGAGCTTTGCTGTTCTGAGGCTGAAATCAGAAGTAAATTACAATGCAGAGGTTTCTCTACACTGTCCTTTGGAAAAGAAAATAAAGTTTGAAATTATATATTTATTTAAAACAAACAAACAAACGCAACCCTTCCAAATCCATGTCTGAAGCTTTCCCTCCTTGCTGAGAAGAAATAGACCAGACGGAGCAGGGAATTCTTGTACTGTAACTTTTATATTATGTTCTTTGTTTAAAAAAAAAAAAAATTATCAACAGACTTGACAAATTGTTAAGCAACTATGGAGATAGTATAAAATTTATAGTTAAACCTGCATTTGATTGGAAAGAATAAATGTCTGTATTGTAGTTGTTCACAGTGAAAAATCAGAAATGGTTGAAGTTGGGGAGTCTGCATTTGAATGGTAGGACATGCAGCCTCAACATCCTGCAGAAGTGAAAGTCTTCTTCAGGTGGAAGGTTTTCTTACAGGAGGGAAGGACAAGATACCACCAAGAAATTATTCATGCTTCTTGGAAACAGCATAGAAGCCAACTGTACAATATAGTAACCATTTCTTCCTAACTTGTTTCCACTTACTGCTGTTAATCTACCTCTGACTGATCTGTGCTGCTTTGCAGGATTTTTATATTCTCCCTCTTGTTGAGCTGTAGGTGTTGCTGTAGGAGTTGCATCATCAGGTGCAGTTAATCAAGGAGCTGTGTACACATAAACCTTCCTTGGCTATGAGCAGCAAACGGAAACCACCAAGCAGTTGATGTGCCTCTGCCCCTTCTCACATCACGTGGTTAAGGGGGTCAACCACACTAACCAAGACTTTGTCTGCATTAAAGCTGACATGTCATCCTGAAGTAACTCACACTGGGTATAATACTTCCTGCCAACTAAACTATCTCCCAATTTCCATATTGTATGGTTTGATCAAGCCATTGACACTTGGTGGTTCTTTAATGAGATCATTTTAAGTGGCTGCTTCCCAGCTGGTCTTAGACTGTTTGCAGTGGTTGTGTCATGTATCTGCTTCACTCCTAAGCCTGATCTATCTGTGAATATTTTGGGGAAATGGTAGCCTAATGTACCCAAATGCAAATGCTTTTTAGGGTATCTCCACATCCTTCACAGCAGATAATGCTCAGTGCACATCCCAGAAGGCTGTTTCTATTCCTGTGGAAAGCACATTGGTATTTCTCTAATTTCTGCAAAGACACTTTTACCTTTACTGTGATGTCAATAATATGCAAGAGTATCAGCCATCTAAAGAAACTCTGTGGGTGGACAACTTCAGAAGATTAATATGAAGCTCTAAGCAACTGTGAATTTCAAACTAACAAAAAAATAGCATTATGGAATTATTTGATTCTAAACCTAATTTTTTTAATTCTTAGTAGAGTCATAAGCTGTACCTGTATGTAGGCCCTACATGTATTTTTTTTAAATTAAAATGCAGTGGGCAGAATTATTTCTTTATATTTACAGTAAAAATGGATACACACTTTAAAGATGCAGGGATAGTGTTTGGCACCCTTTGAAACTTTACACACAGCTTCTCTAAAAAGGGATGCCTACAATATGTAGTTGAAGTTTTCTGATCAAACAGTATTCAAGCTCTTGTGCACACAGCAGAAAATATTTGAAGCAACTTGGTTAAAAGTAAGGATCACTTGAGAAATCCATTTCAAGTAGACTTTTTCTCACCTCGGCTTCTCCAGTATACTCCATTGTTGCAAACTTGTCTGATTTTTCAGTTTCATTAAGAGAAGTTGCTTCCTAGGTAGCAACTTGAAAACATCTGTTGCTTTGTGAAATATCCCTATGCTTTGTTTCTGTCTTGAAAAACCACTGGTTTACGGCTATTATCTCGCTAACATGTAGAGTGTGTAATAAGGGCATATGTTTTTCGATAGGCATAAAACTACTTTTCGTAAAGTTGCTGGGGTTCAGAGCAGTCTGGCAAAGGTTAGAATCGGGCAGTGATCCTTCCTTCTGCTAAAAGAAGCTGCAGAGCTGTGATACTCGTCTCCTCCTGTTTGCAGGCATCGCGTCTGCCCCCAGGATTACCGAGGTGGTGAAAAGGCGGCACACTTCAGGGCTCACCTATCGAGATGTTCTGCTTTAGCTTTTTTTTTGTTTTTTTCTTCAAGTCAAGCCATGAATGAAAACTCGTTTCGCTTTAAGGAATTTTGGGAAAGGAACCTTCCCAAATCCCAGATCATTCCCAGCCTATAAGCGCCGGCTTCTACCCGTCCCCTGCGGCGCTGCGCGGCGGGGGCGGCCCTGCCGTGCCCCACTTCCGGGGTGTCCCCTGCTGGGCGGCGGGGAGCCGCCTCCCAGGTGCTCCTGTGATCCTTCACGAAACTAACTTCGGATCAGTTGAAAGACAGGGTAAAGGAAAGGGGTAGAGCGCCTTATACTCAGTGCCTGTGAAGAATTACGGGGAGAGCTCAAGAGTTCTAGTAGCCCAGTCCCTTTCAAAGACCTGAAGCTCGTGGTTTAATTCAACACTGCCTACCTTTAAACTGCGTTGCATGCTCATATTTGTACGGGCAGCTGCAAAAAATGGGTTAGGTTTCCGGGGTTAACTTTATGTGTGTTTATGGTAAACCAGCAGCTGGCTGGAGGGGTCTGTTCAGAAAGAGAACCTGTTCAGGCAGAGGGGTGCAGAGCCCAGACTTTAGGGTCCAGTGTTTTGCCCTTGCTGTAACGGCTGTAACGGATCAGATAGTTTCAGCTAACTTTCAGTCTGAAGTAGCAGTTATTCATTGCAGTAATGCTTTACTTGGCTTCTGGGGACTCTCCACGCATAAAGCAACACCTGTTAGAGTGGCTTCTCCATGTGCTTGCATTGTGTTTTCAAAGCTGAGGCTTACAGTCATGTTTTCATCTTAAAACCTATCTTTAATAATTTAAGAGAATGCATTCAAGAGGAACATAAAATGGACTATAAACAATTGCATCATGTGTTGGACAGAATATGCTTTCCATGTGACTCATTTTGATTTCTTTAGTTACCTGATGTAAAGGCAGTGAGTATCTTGTGTTGGCGTGAGCTGTCAGCCGTGTCAATAGAGCAGTTCTGTAACCCTACCCACTATAGCACCCAGAATAAACAAACCTGCAGACCTTCAGAGCTTTTCTTAAAGAACAGGTGACACCACCAAGATGATCGGTACAGATTTTGTTGTCTTTCTAAAGCACTTAATGTGATCAGAGAATTAAAATTTCAAGAAGTCATTTAATGATGGCAGAGCAGCAAATATTGTAACACCTAGATTAGGTTTCTTACAGTTTCATAGTTATAGGTGGGGCAGTTCAGGCACTAGTATGCATTAAGGCATTCTTCTCTAGCTTGTGTGACCAACTAAATTTATTAACAGCAATGAGGTCACTGTAATTTTCAATAAATGGTGACTTGCTGATTTATATCAGAAGATCCATACAGCAGTAAACAATACCATTTACATTTAATTAGTTTTATTGAACTAAAGGCAATTTTATTTGTAATGAGCTACATGTTATGATTAAGAATGTATTTTAATGATCTTTAAGGTGAACAAATATTGCCCTTGACCTAATAGAGGAGATTTTTCTACGTTATTGATAACTTTATGGTGAATTTTAAATTGTGATTTTTTTAAAAAAGAACATTTTCATTATTGTAACATCATAATTTCCTGAATTTCAGTGTAGAAGGATGAAATGCATTGTTCTGAATTATTTTCAAATGAGATAAGTTTAAAAATTTCATCTGCTGTTGTATAAAAGCAGCTTAATTTTTATTGCTTGAGATAGTCCTTCATATAGTTTCTTTAATCTAGAACTGTTAGAATCTCCCTACCCAATTCTTACTTTTTGAGTAAGAAAATAACTGAGGTAATTTTTCCCCACTGTCTCCTAAAAGCAGCGTAATTTTAGATACAGAATACTGTTTCCACTGAACATATGAGTAGAACTGTTTGTCTTCAGTGAACCCATCAGTTCAATGCTTACAGTATGACAAGAATTCTTTACTGAAGCTGAATTTCACAAAGATCAAGTCCATTATTTAATTTAATTAATTATTTAAATCATTAATAAAAAGTAGTCCTTTTTTTAAAACATAATTAAAGCCTTTGTTTGAGGTAATTTCCCTTCTCCCTGCTTTTATGTAGGGGGAAGCAATGACATAACCTAACCAGGTAAATTTTTCTTGCTCAGTGAGTAGAAGTTATGTTTACATGTAGTGTTGTGTACAAGTCCTTGTTATCTCCTTGTTAAATTCACCATTGTGACTGCTTTCAAGACACTGAGCTGAGAAATGCACAGCATCTACTACTGAGAAAGCAGCACTAGGTGAAGGAATATCTTTGTACTCTTACAGTAACCATTATTGTTAAATGCAGCTTGTACATGTTTTGTCAGTTATTAGGCCTAGCGTAAAGGACACAGCCAGCATAAAGATGAACCAATAACCAAATTGTATTTGATACACAAGGGTCAGTACATGGGTGAGTGCTGGGGGTACAAACAGTCAGATTATACATAATCAGCATCAATCCCACTGACCCCAATAACGACACCACACAACCAACAATGGGTAGAATAAATGGTGAAATGCAGTCTCCCATAGAAGGGACAGGAGTCAACTGAGTCAACAAACCAAATATATAAGACCAAGGAAGCCACATACTGAATCTCTACACAGCCTGTGTTTACAAAAGCCAGACCTGACTGGAGCCCAGTTCCAGGGAGGCAGGAGGTCCTTCCCAACAGGGAACTCTGCACAGGGCATCCACCTCACAGACAGACACTGCCCCTGCCTGCAAGGGGTCCCCGCTTTTATCCCTCAGTGGGACACCTGACCTTTGCTTACTTAATGCAGACACCTGGGGCTCCTTTACCCAATGGCTCTCCCTGCAAGGCCGGCTGCACCCTGGAGGGAAGCCTAAAGGCAAACTCACCCCCCTTTGTGAAGGGCTGTGGGAATCACCCATGTGTCAACCTTAATTTAGGGCTTGGGGTTGAAACCCCAGCATTTCAGTACATAATCTGTTTTATATAACTGTATCATTATTTAGATTTTCTTTTCTTTCCTTCGATTTATAAAGCTTCAACTACTGTATTTTATAGGCCTGAGAATGTTGTTCTTTTGGAGTACAGAGCATTGGGCTACTGAAAAAAGTCATCCCTTTTCTTTACCCTAAGAATTAAAAAGTATTTCAGAAAGCCACTGAGAACGTGTAATAATGCTTGAATGTCTTTTCTTTCTGCTACTCAAGAATAAAAAGCCAATGAACTACCATCCCAGATTTCTCTTGGAGCGTAGGTTTTTCTCGATTTTTTTAGCTTTAGGAAAAAACATGCACTTTTTGAATACTCTGCTGGTTCTAGTTTGTGGCATTCCACAGTAATGCCATAAATGTGTAGGGAATGTGCAGATCTCTGTTTTTTAGAAAGATAAGTGAGTTAATTTCAGAGTTGAAATTCAAAAAAGAAAAAAAGAAAAACATGAAAGTTTAGGTGTCAAATCAGAAATACAAAAGGAGACCTAAGCATAAAAAGACACCAAAAGAATGTGGTAGAAATGTTTACATTTACAGTGTAACAAAGGAGAACATCACAGTAGAGGAAAATAGGTTAGAAACCAGGAAAATACACTACTGTACAAATGCCAGTATACTTAAAGTGGATATTTCTGCTTCCTTTTATTCTAATGCTGCTTCCCACTAAGGCATTCTTTGAAAAGAGAGAAGTTCTTAGTTGACGCATTTCACTAGCAGTTCTTATTGTGTATATAAATATGTGTGTGGTATTAGTTTTCTCCTGTGCTATCCACTACTGAGAGACTCTTTATTTTGCTTTGCATAATAAAGCACATAATAGCCTGGATTAGCTAAATTGTAGGTGATAACAGATTGGAAAGAAGTGAATGATGAAGATATAGGACACCACATGTGTATTAGTTTCATATGAATTATTTCTTGTGAACCTGATGAAAGTAGGTTGGAAGAACAAGGATGCAATGAATGAACTTCGTGTGAAAGATTACAATAAATGGCTAACGGTTTAAGATAAAGATAATTTATGAGAGTTAATGTTCAGATTTGATTCATGTTTTCAAAAGCATATGAAATACAAAGTCTGGTTTTGAAAAGTGTGAAGTAAAAGATTTCTTGTCTGCAGAATATAAATATAAATAGAAATTATTTATAGAGCTACACATTTTTAAACTCAAATGTGTGATAAATGTACAATAGATTAAAAAAATTCATTTTGATCTGGGAACGTGAAAAAATAATGATACTTTAAAAATCTGTAGCAGTTTTATCAGAAAAACAAAAGGATACAAATGTGTCATTTTAAGGTGTTAACAGGGGTGGACAGTTGTGCCTTTAATTTTTGTAATTTTCAAAGTATGTGATATTCAAATATAGTTAATTTTTCTTATATTCAAAATTATGAACAAAAAATAAGGGCTTTTGTGCCAAGGTGTGGTTATAGTCCATGAAAGGCTGTAAAATTAATTCTGCTTTTGAAGCTAGCACATTCTAGCTAGGATGAACAAGGTATTGTAGCCATGTAACCTGTTCCCCAGAGGCAGTGCTGATTAGCCTTTTGTAAGCGTCATCCAGTAATAAAGAATGGAGATAACCCAAATAGTTAGGTGCTGCGTCCAGTGAGAAGGTAGACACTGTTGCACTTCATCAGAAGTTATGATTCTTAGATTGACTGAGTATCAAGCACCTCCTTCTCTCCAGAGTAGAAATTGGATTATGTATCCATGCATGAGTGGTCTACTCGTGTTGAAATCTCTTAGCTGCTGTTGATCCTGACAGCTTTTTAAAGCTCAAAAAAGTTTGCTTTTATAGTGAGAAGTCAGTCCTTTTTATTGGCTTTTTAACAATTAGTCTGTGGTATTTTTCCTGTGGGAGGTAGATGTTTCAGAACAATTACGTGATGAAATAATTGTTTCAGAATTTGAAGGTGATCCTCACTGGGTCCCTAGGGACAGTTCTTTAAGATCTAACAATAATGAACTTTTTTTTCTTGCCCTGTTTATACCATACCATCATTATTTATAGACCCTGCTACTGTAGTATCTAAGAGTCTCTTATTAGTCTTAGTTTTAGGATAGTAATGTTCATGGTTTGTTTTAGGGTAGGAATATTCATCAATAGTTTGCTGTCATGAGTAGTATGGTACCATGTATATTAGGCCCTATTTTTTCAGTGTATCCCTCTCTTCAGGCATTTGAATAATCCTGTTGATGTATCCAGGCTTCCCTGAAGCTGATGGGGTTTTCTTATGGGTTGACTGCATATGTGCTTGAGCATTTAAGAGAATTTGAATGAATTCCATTTTTATCTCTTGTATTTAGTTGGATTTGTCCTTGCTGGAAAAATACTTTGTTTCCAGTTTTGTTCAAAACAACAAAACCCCCACTTTATTTTTAGAAGAACAAATATGTGGAAGATATTTTAAGATTATACTATTATAAATTAAAATGGAGCTGTTAATAGAAAATAAATTAGATAAAATTTCTAACTTATAAATGTAAAACAGTTTAGTGTTAGAACTGTCAACACATTCAGAATATCATCTTGAATCCGGTTCCTTTATAGCAAGATGTCCTGAAAAACAGCGTGTTTCTTGGGTAAAAATTTCATTAACTTAACTTGGGGTGGGGGTGGTCATAAACTGGAATGTTTACCACTAAAAGGTTCCTCAATACAAAATATGATGTTAAATTTAAGTTTATATAATAGCAAGTACATTAATCTGTTTTACAGGATCTCTTTTCAATCAATGCTTATGTTTATGCTCAGAAGCCACAGCTGGATATTCACAGTTTCGAGGGTACCTTCACACGGGTAAGTAGTGTATGTAAATAAAGTTCTACTTCTTTCTTATATTTCTCAGTGTAAGTGAAACAATTTAGTGCTGAAGTTGTATCAGATCTTTCCTTAGTGTTACTGCAGTATTTTTTTTTTTCCATGTTCCTGCCATGGCAATACTTCATACAAAAGTTATCCAAAAAATATGTATTGCAGAAAGCTAACACAAAAAGAATATCTGAAAAAAGCAAAATTCGAGAATTGGGTATTTGTCGATAGACATCACTATAATCTTCTTGTATGAAGCCAGTTGTATAGTAGTAGATATTGTTTGTCTGCAGGCATCTAAAGTATTGTTCATATATGACAAAAAAGTGGTGAGTTGAATGCATTCAGTAGCCTGAGACAATGCAACTGCTAGTTTATGTGCAATAAAAATGTGCTTTAATGGCATTTGTCTTCAAGGGAAAGCTACTATTTCCAAAGTTATCTCAAAAAATAAAATAAAACTAAAAGCTACTTATGGGGGCTTTATTAAATCTTTTTACCAGATACAATTATATTCAAAACTGTATGTGATAATAGCGATGCAATAATTTCTGTGACTTTTTTCTGTTATTTTCAAAGGGTGCTCTGTTGAAGTTAACCCTTTAAAGCAGGCTGTCCTAATTAGTATTTTTAAAATTTTCTTTACAGATTTGTGGCATTATATTAGCAGATACAGTGATTGTTTTGTTTATTTTAGTCAAACTTAGTAGACTCATTCCTCTTGATAGTTTGTTTCTAAAATAATTCAAGAGAATTAACTACTGTGGAGGTAGAGAAGGGTTTTTTACCCAAGTGACTCAAGTTGGTAATAGATTTTGTTCAGTAATTGGAATTCCAGTTCACAATTCTAAGTACACTGATGAATGAGATATTGCAGCTGTTGGCTCTCAAAGACCCATTTATACCAGTTATGTAGTTCATGCTGCCTACAAAGTAAATGTCATTTGCCCACACCTTCTAAAGCTGTAAGCAACAATGTTTACTTAAACCTTGTATTGACCAATTTTCCAAATGAAACTTCTATTAACAGCTGTAAAATTCCTGTTGCTCCTGTCCCAGTGGCTAAGTGTATACTTTTCTAAATATTAATTGAACTCCTCAGAGCTTTTTTAACAACTCTGGTACATGTAATTGAGACATTGAGAAATCATCACTAAATATTTGCCCCCTGTTGTGGGTTCTGCTTGTACATGCATAAGAGCTGTATGATTCAAGCATCCCTGATATGTGTAAATAAGCCTGATGCACCTTGTGCTTTTAGGTTTACAGAGGTATTGTTTTGACTGCTTCAGTAGGAAGGGCAGTTGAAAATGAACTTGTATGTGCATGCATCAGAGGGCAATGCCTTCAGATTTGGTTCACAGTGCATCACTTTATAGATATTTTCAGGAGCGTTTTTTGGTTTGGTTTTTTTTTTTGTTGTGTACCTTCTGCATAGTGAAACATTTTAGGACACTTGTTTACTGATTTATCTTCCTACTTTTGCTGTGAGTCCTTTCTTCTTACACTAAATCAGTTTTTTGCATCTAATTTCTATTTTATGTTAAAGTAAAAAAAATTACTGTGCTTAATGATGCTAATGCATACATTTTTCCCACTTAAGCACTGATGTTCAAAGAATTCTTGCAAGGGTAGGTTGACAGGGTAATAGCACATTGATTTTTCTTTTCTTTTTTTTCGCCCATTATGAAGACAGAGTACTAACAATGTAGAAGACAAACTTAGATAATTTCAAAAAGTACATGACCATAAAACAAAACAGAAACTTAGGTGTATAGCTCTGGAGTTTTTTAGGAAATAACTTCTCTAAGTACTTCTGGGAGAGAAGTATATCTACAGCAAACCTGATAGCTGACAGAAGATACCTTTTGCAGTACACCTGCATAACCATGTCAGGAGGAGCTAAAGCTCTGCCGTACTCCACTGATGTCTGCCAGCTTCACATGAAGTCATTTTCCATTGTCCTCCATGGATTTGGGTGTGTTATATGCAGTCAATGCATGAAAGTGATAGTGTGTCCTTGCATGGGCATGCGGGAAGGATCATGTCTGGCCCTTAAATAATGGCATAGATTAATTCCTCTCCTCCTCTCCCTTCTGGACATCTTACCATGAAACAATAGATGAGCTACATTAGTGTTCTGCAAAAATCTGTGTTTAATGTGTTTGCAGGGCATCATCCATGTCTTGGCTGAGCTTATTTTGAAATAGTGATGCACAGAACAGAGATTTACACAAGTGTAACTACCATTTCTCTTCTGTCTGATGCTCCTGTGTGGCCTTGATAAATTAGGAATCTATTTCATCAATTCTGAAGAAACATGAGGAAAAACACATATTTGTAGAAAAAGAATAAAAGGTAGCCATACTACTTAGCCCAACTTTCACCAATTGAAACCCAAAGAGTACTCTAGAGTATTACATTGGTGTGTACTGGCATGACCAGTATTATTTATGTTTTGCTTACAGCTTCTGTGCAGGATCATGGAAATTATCTCTTCAGCTTTTGACCTTGGCTGGTTTTTGTTTAAATTTGGGTCCTCCTTATTCCACCATTCTTAAGAATATTTTCCTTTAATTTCTCCTATATTGCAGCTCTGTGCTGTCACCTCAGTCTCTTTATTTACTTTGGGAATATATCTAAATTTTATTTTTTTAGGTCCACTAGAAATCTCTGAGAACTGATTCCTTTGTGTTTAGTTTATTTGCTGTAATAAACCTTTTTTTCTATGGTACAGAACTATTTGGTATCATTTTCTCCAATATAGGATCTTGTCAGATGTTTAAAAAAAATACCTTGATGCAAAACCTGTTGCATGTAGCTGTTAATACAATGGAAAAATACATATCAAGATATGAGCACTGAAAAACGGGTATTCGGTTATGAATAGAATATTTGGCCTGGGGCTAATTCTACAGATGTTTTCTTGGACAAGTCTTGTATTTTAGTAGAGAGAGTGTTGAATCATTCTTTTTTACTTCATATTTACTGTTAGAAATTTACCTGTTTTGAAGCAGTGATTGTGTTCACTTCAATCTGGTTTAATTTTGTGTTGCCACTGAAGGGAATGGTATTCTGTTTTGCAGCTCGTTTTAGCTCACCTTCCTTGTGGCACTAACAGCTATACAGACAGCCAAACTGGGGAGCTAACATGTGTGGAACCCAACCCAACCCTGTCCAAAATATATAGGCCAGTAAAAGGAACATAGCAAGAATAATTATCTGTGGGAATGGGGTGGGGAAGGAATCTCTTTCAGTGATGCAACTAAACTGATGCATATTCTTCCACTTTCCTACAAAAGTTGGTGGGGGTGGTTGTGCTGCATCCTGACAGGTAGGAGTAGTGCTAGAAAAGGTCAAATGGAAGTGGTATGCTGGTTCATTCAAGAATTAAGTATTTAGTCTCAAAGGCCTCAGTTGTTATTTGAAAAAATTTCTAATAAATTGTAGCTTTGAAACCTTTTAAATGGCTACTTGAAATTTGTCATGATCCTTGATCAGCTGTATTATGAATGTAGGACTGAGAGGATATATTAAATTCTTATTTCAGTACTCATTTGTTCCTTTTTCTCTGCACATGCAAGAGCTACAGATTCATTTCCTAGAATGGGAACTGTGGACAGTTTAAACTTCTATGATCAATACTGCACATGACTTCAAAAACCCAGCCTGAATATGAAGCTTGAATGCAATACTGAACTTTACTATTCTGGTAATTAATTTAATTCAGAATTTAAAGACCAATAAACATACAGCTGCCAAATGAAATTCAACCCAGCAGACCTGAAGTGGAAGCTTCATCAGCTGGACAAAGAAGCTCTTGTATGTGAAATTTCTGCTACTAGAGTGAGTGATGGATTTCATTTACCCCAAAACATATATTGTTCTGTTAGTTGTGGTAGCCTCAGAAGATTTGCAGAACCATTTCTCCTTAGCACACTCCCAGTCTTGTTAGGAATTGGAGTCCTTGTCCTTTCCCTGCTTCATCTATGCCTACCATCTATCCAAAAGTAGAAGAAAAAAAAAAAAGTGAAACAGCTAAACTCGTAACCTGTAAATTACTTATTTTTCATTTGAATAATTTATTACAAATGAAAACTAAGGTTAAGCCATCATCTCTTTGCGTATGGAAGTGGTATTTGGTAAACTGAATAAACTGTAGAAAGGTGGGAATGTTAGATGAGGACGTAAGGACGTGAAAGGATCATCATGAAATAAGCAGAGCTAACTTATCAGCCAAACCATTCTGCTGATGAGCATGGCATGAGTGGAAAGAGATACAGCTCATTGGTTGTTTTCCTATTTTGAATGACCTAAAAGGAGGCATTTTCCCTAAGTCTTGTTTGTAGCAGCTAGACACTAGATAAGTGACTTTCCTGGCTGTGTTGTCAGCTCCCCATAATCACTGCAGGGCTTTTGATTCTTCGTGTAGCATGGAAAGAGTTTAATAATTCACTGTCTTAAAATCTGCTAACTAAAGAATAAACCAAGGCAGAAAAATATACTTTACTAGCTTAGTATCGTATTCCTGACAATAGCCAGAAGCAGACTGCTGGGAAAGAGAGTAAGGCTAGAGTAAGGAGATGGTAATGCCTCCTCAGAAGATTCTTCTGTCTCTTAACAACATGTTATGTGGGAACTTCCTGAGTCAGAGCTGGTTTCTGTAAATAACCTGCAGTGAATTTTCTTTCCTTAAACTTACCCAGTCCCCTATTGAACTTATGTAACCTTTTAGGATGCAGATAGGAAACAGTTGTACAGGTTAATTCCATATTTTTAGGAAAAGCAATTACCTGTTGTTTTAATTTTTCTGGCTTTATGACTTCTTTCTTCTTTGGTAAGGGAGCAGCGTTTATCCTCCTTTTCTAGGTGCCCATTTCATAGATGTCTGTCATCTTCCTAATTAGAGTTCAGGTTTATTTAGTCATATCTAGTATGGAAGCTATGTGGAAGCTACATTGACCACCCTTGTTGCCCTTTTTGAACATTTTCCAGTTCTTTTTATTTCCTGTTTGGAATAAGGGGAGAGGAGGGATTTAGAACTACATGCCTAAGACTTGCGCAAACCATGAATTTTTTTGTAGTAGCATGATCTGTTGCTCTGTTTTTCTCTCCTACTAATTCTAAGCATTCAGCTTGTTTTTGACTATTAAGTTAGTGTTTTGGTAGGTTTGTAATAATGCCAGCATTTGTTTTCTGAGTAGTCATGACAATTTCTGAGTAGCTCTGAGCATCTCAGAGCTCACTGGTTTGAATTTAGGGTATTTTCTTCCTTTTTGTTATTGCTTTACATTTCACTGTATGGAATTTTATCTGTCCACTTTTTCGTAGGATATATCAACCTCCAGTACTACCCCACTATTAAATCATAGGCCCTTTTTGTATAGCCATTTTGTTCTAAAGTCTTACTTTAATCTTACCTAATGGTAAGGTATGCAAAGATTTAGTACTGAACATTTCTTTAATCCTACAGTTTTTTTGTTATCCCTGATTCTGTACATTAATTCTGTGCTAATAGCCAGTTAAAACATAATGCACATGTCAAAATTCAAATTCTTTCTTCATGATGGAATTCAACATAATGTAAAATTGGCGACTTCAGTATGATTGCAGTTTTAGTAAGTGATAGATGGGAGATGATCTCTTTCAGTGTTTGGGAGGAGCTGTTTGGAGTCCCACTGTGGACAAACAGGTATTTCGTATGGAATTTCTGAGGGCAAAATACAAAAACTTTTTCATTTATTGAGATTAAATTCATCACAAGTATGGTATTTACATCTGTATCGTGTCACTATATTTTGATGACTATAAAAGACAGACCCATTCATTTCCATGAAATTGCAGTGTTTGACTGAAATATGGGATCTTTACAGTCAGATCTCTGTTAGTATGCATCATCCTATTATATGTCTGCTGGGGACTCCTCTGACAAACCCCAGCATGATTTGCTCTAGTAGTGAGTTCTTATAAAAGCATTTTCCTTTGCACCGTTTTCAGTTGACTTAGTGATGCAGTGAGAAACTACACAAATTTCTTATTCAGAATACTTGAGCAGAATTTCCTTTTTTTTTTTTTTTTTTTAATTTGCAATGTATAATGGTAGATAGAATTGTAAAAATCAAGCAAGTTGAAACAGTTTGAACTATGCAGAATAGGTTGTGGATGACAAAACAAAAAGTAATAAATGTTAGCATGTGTGTTGCCATGACACACAGATTGTCCTCAGTCAGCAAGTTGTGTGAAATTAAGATTCCTGTTTGGTGCCCATTGGGGTTGAAAGTGGCAGTCTTCTACTCTTGTCACAAATGGCTAATCAGCTGTATGAAAGAATTTAAAGAGATTTTCCCTGTTAGATTCAACAATTCTTGAAAAGCCCATGATAGGAATGAAAAATTAAGTATCAGTTTTCAGCTCACTTATGGCCAGTTTGTGTACCAGCTGTGAAACAGCCTCTGAAGCCTCTGTATAAGTTCCATATGGAAACTTACCACTGGACGTGGTCATGTTTTGACATTACAGGTGTAGATGGCAATCTCTCTACCCACTGCCATGCACCAACAGCTGCTGTTAGTATTTTGACTATATTACTAGCACCTTCCTCTGGAAAAACTAGTATTCTTGGATAATTTCTACTTAGACTTATACGTCCATACACTGCTTAATTAGGCTTTCAGGAGGCTGAAATAATCACACAATCCAAGTAACTCAGAAACAATTGTAAACTGAATCAAGTAGCTAAGCATTATGAAGTTAAGGGAAAATTACCCAAACCCTATCAAAAGCAGTCATCTCAGAACTAAGCTACTGAGTGTTACAGAGATGATTGATAATTGCCACAAATTATACTTTCTTGAGCTAGATCAGAATACTCTTCTTGCATTTAATGTTTCACTGATCAAGACTTCATGTGTTGCTGATACTACCAATAATTTTGAATATCGCTATAGCTGCTGATCCTGTTTTACCTTCAGAGATATATTTTCAGTTCTCTACACCTGAGCATTCCTATCAATATGAAGTACTTCTCTTATGTAGCAATGTTTTGAAATTCACTACTTCTGTTCTTTGTACTCCCCAGTTACTGAAAATTCCTACATGTTGTAATGTTACTCCATTAAAGTGGGCTTGTGGTTGCTGTTGTCTCACACCTAATGTATTGCAATTGTTAGGAGTATGGGAAATAATTCTTGCAGTATTAATTCCTTAGGTAAGAATCAAAACATACTTATTTTTCTTAATGAAAGACTAATCTTAGAACATTGATGATTCTTGGCAGAATTTTTATTTCTTGCTATGTCTTAAAAACTTGTGGTTTTCTTCTAGCTAATTACATATCCTCCCTGTCTTCTCCTCTATTTTTGACAGAATGGTTCTCTGTGCCTTTTAAACAATGATTTTGCTTCAAATAAGAGAAGAGCTATATATTCCTTGCTACGTAGGGATTTTTTGAAGTACACACAAAAATCTGTTTTAGGAACAGAGATTTCTAAGCAGCTCATCCTGTACTTGGTGGTTGTTTCAAAATAGAGGTGATAAATGGACATAGGTTTTGATTACTGACATTATGTAGAATTTATTGTGTACTTTAGCATATCAGTGGTCCCCCTTTTCATGAAAAATGTTTGGCACAATCTGTAATTAGATCAAATACACTTTATTATCCTACCTCCTAAAGTTTCCTTTAGTTGTAAACAGCACATTTCACAGCTGCTAATGAGTAACAAATCTGTACATGCTCCAAATTGATTATGAGATATTAAATCCGTTTACAATCTGTGGACCATTATTGCTTGGGAGGAGAGAGGGGAGGAAAAAAAGGAAAGTTTAAAATAATCACAGAAACAATTTCCTATTGAAAGTATTTTCCCATTGGATATGTATTTTGTAAGTATGTGGTAAGACAACACAAGTATGCATTTCTTTTTAAAAGTATAAATATTCTTTTCTGAAGTTGATACGATATCGCTTGAGTTGCAAAATGATAATGACCTTAATTTACTGTATGAATGATAGATGATTTAAGTTGTCATAGAGAACAGGGTATTAATTTTTCATGGTTAGTGTTCATAACTCACTTTAACTGCTTGGTAAACTGAAGTTTGATACATCTGGGGAAAAGAATATGTTCTTTTAAAAACACTATTGAATTTGTCTCTTTGAATATAATTGGGTTTAAGTAATATGGACCTCAATCAGTATTTCCCTTTTTGTGAAGTTTTGTGTGTGTGTGTGTATACAGAAATTAAAGTATGTGCAATGAATACACTATTATACAGTGGTTGATACAAGGGCGCAGACATTCTGTGCAAGTTATTCACATGGTTTAACATTGTTCTTAACTGAGTATTTATAATGCTGATTTACTTATTGGCTGTTCATATTTTTAACAGGAAGACAGCGATCCAACAGTTCATGAAAGCCTAAGCATAGAAAATACATTATGGGCAAGCACTGTTGTTGCTTCAGGTAAGTGTTGCAATAGCAAAGCTGATGATGTATCTGAAAACTTATGTGGAAGCCTATCTTTGTTTTTACAATGCCAAATATTAATGGCTTTTGAAAACCTTTTTGTATTCTAGGCTATTCATCTCTTGCTTCTCTGTCTGCCTTCCCGTTGGTTTCATCATGCTACTCACAGTATTTTCATACCTTTTTAATCCTCTTTAATATTTTTTACTTAAGTTTTTCTGTTTCTGTAGTGCTGTCCCTTGTAGCCCATTAAGGTCACTGAGCTTTTTCTTTTATTTAAAACTTCAGGTTGTGAAGTGCTCTATTCAGCTCACTGTGGATAGGGTTCTGCTGAAAATCAAGGGTGGTTTTGCATTTCATTAGGAGATTTATGTATACTCTGTGCTGTGGGTAAAGTTTGCAAAATCTTAATCAGAAACTATAGATCAGTTATACAGTTCTGTAATTTTGAAATAATGGGTTCTAAATATAATGTTTCACATGTCTCGGGTATTATAAGGAGTTCACATTATCTAGATGCTGTATTCAAGCTTAAAGCCTTGTAACTTTTTAAAGACCAAAAAATTATTTTCTTCCATCTTTTCTCTATGTAAGAAAAGTCAAAAGGACTGTAGAGCAAAAGGGCTGTTTCTTCAGCACAAAAAGGCAGAATAAGGAAAGCATGATTTCTGAAAAGGAGCTAGGATTTAAGACAGGGAATTGGAGCAACTGGAAACATGAGCCAAGAGGAGGAGGGGTAGGGAGGGATGGGAAAAAAGTAAAAAAGGGTCTCCATCTCACTTGTACAGTTAGTCCCTGCTAGAAAGGTCTCCTACATCAGTGTGGAGCCTGCTGGAGGGTTTTGGAGAAGAGATCAAGTTTGAGGAGGTGGCAGAGGAGTCTGTGTCTGAGCACTCCTTTCCAGGGTCTGAAAAGATAGCCATGTCCTTTGATGCTCAGCATTGTTTAATTTGATTGCACTGGTAAACTGTTTTGTCAAATGGATGATGCCTAAAATTGTCCTCAGCTAGGTTAACTTAAATAGTCAAGATCTGTAACTTGTGTTTAAAAAGGTGCTGCTTATGAATTTATATACAGGGGAAAACTGCACTCAAAGAGTATACATTTGCAAAGTCAGTAATTCTGAATCAGTAATTTTGAATTTTAATTGAAACCATTCACGTTTTCATTTCTGAGGTAGATGATTTGCTTTTGTTCAGAAGTGTAGCAAAGGTCTGAGGCCTCTTGATCTGCCATCTAAAATTGGCACCCAAATTAATGGAAACAGTGCTCCTTAAAATTGATGCCTTAGTACATTTGGGTTTTTTGCTTCTGAGGGGTCTTGTGAAGGTTTTAGTTGTTTATGGAGGATTTAGGTTCATCATTAATGATGGCAGTAGAGGAACATAGGAGAAGATAATTCTCTTGCTGGAGCATAGTTTTGAATAGTGGAGTAAGACTCTAAAGGGAAACTCAGGGCACTCACTGAATGATACAAAGTAAAAATATTGAATGATTCTTTATGAGTGCAGCCCCTTCTGAAGGGAAAAAATATGTGGTCAAGTAATTAAGACTGGTGTCGTGATGTGCATACAGAAGTTGGTTGAACTAAGGTAGTAGAGAGAAATAATTTCCTTCAGTAACTGATTGTGTGGCATTATATCTTCTTAATCTAAATTTTGGCGTATCATTCATTTCACTTATTTCATGTATTAACTCAATTTAATACTGTGATAGTGTGCTCCTCTCATGTAAGTACCACAGTTATCAATCATGTAAGATTTTTATTTGGAAATTTGCTTGTTCTGTAAGGCATCATAAATCCAGATTTTAAGAATTGCTCAGCACCTCTGTGAAGCTAATGTTAGCATTTGAGAAGATGAGGCCTTTAATGAAGAGTAGGAGATCATTGCCTTTTTTCTGCTCGTTACCCAATAAGGAATTTATGAGATCTTACAGGTGCACTGTGCATGTAGTCATGAAGAAGACTCATAGAGGGAAACAATTAGCTGATTGTTAAAATTAATATGTTCTAGATTTGGTTTATAACTGATGTATCATTCAGTTGTTTTCATCTCACTTCTAATTGAACGTACATAGCTGTTATGGTTTAACCCCAGTCAGCAACTAAGCACCATGGAGCTGCTTGCTCACTCCTCTCTTCCACCCACCCCATGGTGAGATGGGGAGGAAAATCGAAAACAAGTAAAACTCATGGGTTGAGATAAGAACAATTTAATAATTGAAATTAAAGAAAATATAGTCATAATAATTGTAACTAAAAGGAAGATAACAAAAAGAGAGTGAATAAACCCCAAGACAGACAAGTGATGCACAGTGCAATTGCTCACCACCCCACTGACTGATGTTCAGCCAGTTCCCAAGCAGTGTTCTGCCCTTCCTGGCCAGCCCTCCTCCCAGTTTATGTACTGGGTATGATGTCATATGGTATGGAATATCCCTTTGGCCAGTTTGGGTCAGCTCTCCTAGCTGTATCCTCTCCCAGCTTCTTGTGCGCTTCCAGCCTTCTCACTGGCAGGACATGAGAAGCTGAAAAATCCTTGACTTAGTAAAAAAACTGCTTAGCAACAACTAAACACATCTGTGTGTTATCAATATTATCCTCATACTAACTCCAAAACACAACACTAAACTAGCTACTAGTTTATATCTCAGACAAACCAGGACAATAGCTGAGTTAGGATACTTGATGCTAATCTGATTAAATTCAAATTTTTACAACTTTTTGAAAAACATTGGACTTCATAACTGAATTTCCAAGATTTGTGACAACAGAAAATCTTTTTAATGAAAACACTTGTGACTCTGACTGAATTATAAACACATCTAAATTGCCTTGCTTAAAACCTGCCATGGCAGGATGTCAGTGGTGGAGTCTACATACACAAGTTGCAGGCACCTCTGCATCCCCTCCCCTGCCATGGCCTGTCTTGATTATATCTAAAAACTTTAGTGGAAGATTATGCTTGCACACAGCCTCTGCAGACAAGTGCCACTCAGATTCCGTGAAAACAGAATAAACAGCCTGTAGCTTGTGAAAGTCTTTACTAGTTTTTCTACTCTGTAGATAGCTACCTCACCTCAGCCACACTTGTATCTTATTTCAGTCTCCTTACTGTCTAGGCTCACAGTTCTGTTACATGCAGGTATTTTTCACCCCAAAGTATATGATGTCTATGTGCAATCCTAATCTTGTATTACCTTGCCTCATTTAAGAAAGTGGGTTTGTAGTCTGTACCCAGATGGTAGGGGGTAGAGTTCTGCCCTGCAACATTGTGCATCTCATAATTCACCTTAAGACTCTTCAGTATGGCAGCCTTTAAGGCATCCTAGCTTGGAAAGCTGCTTCCTTCAGAGCTTCTTAAGCAGCCTGGACATCATCTGTTACTAAGCCAAGCAAATATGTGACCCGTTGCTCTTGAGACTATGTCATGCCCTTGCCAAATCCTTGGAAATTGTTACAAAGCATTCCAGGTCAACCTGCACTACTATCTTGACCTATTACTAACCGATGCTGTCATTCTCAGGGGTGGAAACAGGGAGCTACATCACTGACACCCAGGAAAGAAATATGTATTTGATTTGCAGATACAAAGCTTACTGAAATTTTAAAAGTTTTTTCATAGGGTATACAGGAGAATTGTTAGGCAAGGGTGTTCTTCTCATGTTCCTCCTTCCAGTGATTAAATGTGGTGAGTTTTCTGATATTCCCTTTGACATACTATGTAAAACACATTGCATCAGCTAGGAGAGCCCACTGTCTCCAAGACACATGCCATTGCTATTTGTCAAGGTCAGGCTAGGAAAAGTGTTTCTGGAATTAGTGGGGAACACCTCAGAAAACTTGGGCTCTGGTTGCTGGTATTCTGACAGTTCTAGAGGAGAGAGACCACAAATCAATCATCTTGCAGATCAGTAACGGTAAATGTAAGTGTCTAAAGATATCAAAGAATTTTATCAACTACATGTTGAATGCAGATTAGTAAGAACATGAAAATATCAGGATACTACAATAATGGATTCTACAGGAAAAAAAAAAAAAAAAGCCTATTTCTAGAGCAGTACAAGTGACAAGAAAAGTATTGAAAAACTATTTCTATTTTCTTTTTGAATTTGGGGAACCAAAAAATTGGTTCAACAAAATCATGTACCATCAAGCAACTCAAGAATAAAGTATTCCACAGCCTCTTTAAATCAGCAAGTAAAGTTCAGGAGACAGATTCTTCAAATGCGTAGATTTGGAAGGTGTTTACTTTCCTTGGTTTCAGTATGTCTCCTTACCCCTTAGAATAACAGTAGGCTAAGTGGGGAAAAAAAAAAAAACAAACAAAACCCATTTTGTCACACCTAATATATACTCAGAATTGGTACTTTAGATAACTAAATGGAGATTCCCACTGCTACCAAATCTGAAGTGCTTTCTACCCCTTGCTGTAAAGCCCTGACAGATCTGGTGACTGTGTGTATGATTAGGTTTATCGTAACCACAAAACATACAGACTAATCTGTGAGGATCACAGTGGCAGGGGTGGAAGTCAAAAGACCCTCCCTGGAGTCCTAAGCATGCAGCCATCCTTTTGTTATTCTTTAATAAGTGGGATAGGAAAAAATATTCTGACTTTTTTCACTTACAGGTAACATGCTAGTGAGTTTTAAAAAGGAAACAGTAAGATACAGAATCTATGTGCCATTATTAATATCTATATTATTGCTGTGGAACTAATAACAGTGCCTGAAGGAAAGGAAGTTTTGGTTAGTGAAAACTTGAAAAACTGCTATCACTGAAGAAACAACTTTAAATATGACCAAATAATTTGAACCACTGAGTATTCTGAAAACCATTTAGGTTATCTTTAATTAAATCACTTATCTTTCAGATCATTTGTATTCATGTTATCATTGACTGTGGTATTTTTATTGAAAGCTTTGGTAGCTTTCCTTTTGGAAAGGGAGAGAGGAAAGTCAGCAGTTAAATTTTAAAAAGCCTCAAAATGTCCACTACAGTACGGACCAACTTTTTCCCAACTTTTTCATTTTTTCCTTTCCATTTACTGTAATGATCAGTGTGGCTCAAAGCCTAAACAAGATAATGCAGTTTTCTGAGAGACCTGCTGAGATACCTATTAAGAGGAGATTGTATTAATGGAATTTTGTGATCATTTTGGCAGGTGTCAGTCTTGCAAAGACACTTTAGATAAAATCAGAACAATTTGTATAACTGCACAGCTGTAAAAAGCACTATTTTATGCCAAGTCCTACACATGATTTAAATTAGTTTGAGCACTCTCTTGTTTTCTTATGGTTTACATAATGCTTGGGAGATACTGAAAATTAATATGATCACACACCAGATTCAGAGTACACCTGACTATTTGTGTTAACTCTGCACAAGTCTCTTTTTATCTCTTTTCCAGGCCCCCATGTTCATTCTAGTGGTATCTCCTCTAACTTCTCTCTTCTTCATTAACCACTCTGCCCTTACCAATCAGTGGTTGCCCAATTTATATGAGAGCCACTTTGCATTGATCACAATTCAGTAGTCAAAATGGATTTTATCTGCCTTTCACCTTCAAAACCAACTTTTCAAGGGGCAAAATACGAATCAAGTAGGACAGCTTATTTTTCTGAGCTGCAGCAGCCTAGCCAAGTGAAACTTAGTGAAAAGGTGCCAGCAGGAACAGAGAAATCCTCCCCAACTTTTACTGAACTAAGGAGGTACATTGTTGGGGTGTGCAGGAGGAGATTCCCAACGGAATATTGTCCAGTGTGTTTTGACCATTGAATAGAGGTCAGCTCAGATGATCACTCCAAAATGAAATGCCCCAAAGGGATATGGACATTGGTTGGAGACCAGTAGAAGAGTTCAGAAATTATGGATCAATAACTATTATTTTACAAAAGTCAGGAGGAATTTTGGAGTGTGTTGGGGGCGTGTTACCTATATACTAGTGTGCAGATTTGCATCTGGAACAGTTAGTAGAGGCAGACTAGCCTCGGGGAAAATGTTTCTTAAGTCTTCCCTTGACATAAAAGCTTTAGTATGAAGAGGAAAATAATAGATAAACTAATTTTTAGTTGTCCAGACGATGTAATCACTGATGTTTTGTACGTGGATTCGAAGTTTTCACTTCCATTCTCCTTTTTGAGTAAATGAAATTGCCTTTCTTTAATTCCAACATCTTTAATTGTTATCTTTTTTTTCTTTGTGTGTTTCTTCAATTTTTTTATGACTTGTTATGCTGCAAGAGTGGTGGTGGCAGATCTTGCGTGTGGTCCTGATTGTCAAAGACAAATTAAGTTACTCTGACATCAGACAAATGTGTCATATTACAGCTTTTAAAGTTTTCTGAACATGGTGGTTCTGACAATTTATGTTAATTATTTCTTTATAACATAAAGATAACAAAATATATCACATTATTGGTTGTGCTGCTAGAAAACCCTTTCAGGTCACTTGAAAATAGAAATAATGGGTTTGTGCTAAAAAGTAAGATAGTGCCATATTAATAAAAAATGCTGAAGCCAAATTTTCCTATACCATCCAGTAAAAATTGACTAAAAGATAATTGGAACAGGGGAATACTTTTTTTAAGTTAATGAACAGGAGAATATTTTTGTATGGGATTTGATCAAAGTAATTTGGTGAAATAGATTTTACATCATTATAGATGACAGCTAGCAGACATTGTACTCATTTTTGTATTCCTTCTGAAGGGCAGTTATTTATGCTGTGTGTTAACTTCTGAAAACAGTTAGAGAAAATTTTAAGGTCAAATTCAGGTTTTTAACCAGTTATATTGAAAGTATTGTTTCCATTAAAAATAAGGGAAACATGTCGTTTTTATGGATGCTAATTAAAGAAGTTACGATCCTTCGTAGTCAATTCTGAAAAACAACATTCACAATAATATGTACATTGCATAAATGTTTGGGCTTTTTTTTATACAATTGATTTGTTTGAGGAACTGTAGATTACAGGAAGTTTTTAATTCAGACAGATTTTGTCATAACTACTTGACACCCCTCTTTTTGTGTGTTTTTCAGGAACTGTAATTGGTGTTGTCATTTACACAGGCAAGGAAACTCGAAGTGTAATGAACACATCCAATCCAAAAAACAAGGTAAGTTAGCCTTGCTGTGTGATTTCCTACTTATGTTTTCGTAAAACTTAAAAATAGATGTACCTAAATCCAAGAATCTACAAGCTTTTTACTCCAATGTTTTTTGTGTGTGCTGAACTGGCTTGAACTTTGGTATGAGAAGTGAATTCTGCCTCAGTCTCCTTTTGGAATTAAAATTATTCTTCTGTTAGCTAAGAGTGCTACAGATACTAATAGAAACATTTGTCTTAGGCAAAAGACGTGCACTTATACTTTTTACACTTTTATCTCTCAGCCAAATATTAATTCCCACTTCTCTCAGATTATTTTACTATAAATTATTTGTCCAAAGCTACACATAAACAAGGAATGTTTATAACAGATTACTCAAATCTATTTGGTCTCACAGAGGAAGTAGAGCAAAATAACTGAGGTTACAGTCAGTACCCAGAATGCTCTTCCAGGGATTTTTTTTTATAAGCAATGAAAACATTGTCAAGAGATTTGTCTGTTGAAAAGATACCAGAATTTTGAGTGCTTCCCTCTGTACAAGGTTCTTTCAGTTCAAAACAAAGCAAATAGCTCTTCATTTCATCAGTAATGTTACTAACGTGAGTTGAGGAGGGCCCTCAGTTATAAAGAAATGAAACTTCAGTTGTAGGCTGTGTTACAACCTAGACCTGTGTTTAGTAAGAAGATACTTAATTATATTAAGAAAGGAAAAAATTCTTGCAAGAGGTTTAGAAAAAAATCAATTGTGACAGGTTGCCATTTTCACGCCATTCATAATAAGTTGCTCTGAGTAGGAACATCAAGAATGAAATGATAATACAAATTGCTTGAAACAGTTATTGCAGTCCCCTGAGTGTATTGATTTGTGTTTCTAATAGAGATGCTTTTAAATGTCTCATTGACAGAGACAGGTGATATGTACCATTACATGGATTAAGATGGCCTTTTATTATTTTAATCTTTGTAACATACATTTTAAAATAATAGAGTAAAATGGAATCAGAATGTTTATGGTGCATAATTATTTTCTATTCCATCTGATACAAAGACGAGCCTTTTAGTAACAGAATCTTTCTCTAAGAATTCTGAACAACTTCTGACTAATAAATAATTCTCACAGGTGTTTAAAATGAAATTATTTAATATAGTAAATCGATAGGCAAGTATGCATAAATGTAACACTCTTTACCCAAATTCAACAGATTCTGCAGGTATATGTATTTGATTTTTAGTAAATGCTTGTTAAAAATTTTTGCATTAATATTCACATGGAAAACTATTGATAGTAAAAAGATTTGTGTTTAAAATATCCCTGATATTAATATTAAAATAGTTACTCCAAACTTGCATCAGCAAAAGGATAAGTAGCAGGTAAACATACAAAAAATGAGATCCAGAAGCATGTTGACAAGCTGCAGCATGGGGGTGTTTTACTATTATGACAATACATGTACAACTTTTGCTTGCATAGTACTTTAATGTTATAGCTGCTAACAATTAAATGCGTTCGTTCTTCTACAGTGGGAACCTAAGTAAACTTATTTTCGTGGAGCGCTAAAAAGCATAATACTATGTGTACACATGCACATAAACTAACAGAGCCAAATCCTAATAATATTATCTGGCATATATTGCACTGTCGGTATATGAACACTAAGTAATATAATTAGTTTAGGAGCCATTCAGGGGAGATTTAGACTGGACAATAGGAAGCATTTATTTACCAGCAGGTGCTCAAACCCTGGAACAGGCTTCCTAAAGAGGTGGTTGATGCACCATGTCTGTTAGTGTTAGAGGTATTTGGACAACACCTTTAATAACATGCTTTAACTTTTGGTCAGCCCTGAAGTGGTCAGGCAGTTGGACTACATGATTGGTTTAGGACCCTTCCAACTGAAACAGCCTATTCTAATGAGAAATCATGCTTTTAAATAGTATTGTATGTACCACTGATTGATAAAACGTGATGTTTGTATAACTAGACTGTAGTCATTAGTGGTCCAAAGGCCTTTCAAGGAGTCACTGATGTATTAAGATGTTCATTATTCTAAATCTGTATATTCATTTGTTCTTGAAGATGCTTAGTTCTTTGTACCATGGTTAGCTGATAGTAATACACTAAATTTGAAGAATGAGGCTTAGTATAGTATATGTAAAATTACCTTCTTTAAATGTCTCTGCCTTGGTAGTTGCTCTATAGACTATTTCAAAAATTTAAAAATCAATCTCATACTGAGAAGGTGAAGACTTTCTGTAGAGCCTATTTCCTGCATCAACTGCATCAACTCTGCATCAGCTGTCTTTCAGATTATTCTGTAAATGGGTAAATGAGTCTGGTGTGTACCAATTGCTCAACAATAATATTGGTGTGGTGTTTTCTCTGTATGGACTGAACATCCTTGTTTAATGCAGTAGCCAACAAGTAACATGACCAGTAAGGATGAATTTGGAAAGTGAAAACTGAAAAACACTTAAGGCTATCACAGATGAGTAAGTGATAAAATGTAGTACTTCAGTGTAAAAAATAGTTCTCAATATTTTTTTAATATGTAGTTTTAACTCTATTTTTCTGCGGAGTTAGCGTCTTACTGTCTCCGTGTCCTCTACCATGGGGTGAGTTTGGTTTGCATACTTCTGTAAGACAGACACTTACTGCCTGTAGAGGATATTCTATGTTAGTTACCCTTGCAGCATGTGGACAAGCAGTAGTAGGTTCATTCGTCCTCTGTGTATTTGGGAGGGGAAATCTTCTCGTGTTTTCTCAAGCGTGGCAATAATGATTACATGTTGGATAGGATATGTAGCATTAGGAGCCAAAAGGAGGGCGAAAGGAATCTAAAATAGTCTTTGAGATTAGAAGATATATGACAGTTCAGAGATTAAAGATTCTAACATTTAAAAAAAAAAAATTGCACCAAACTGTTGCTGGAACTAAATTGAGATTAAATTGATCAGTTGTGACATTGCTGCAAACTCAAGAGGAAATGAGTGTCCCCTCTTCTTTTTTGAAGAATTGTTACAAATACTATTTATAACTGGTTTTAAATGACAGACTGTCTTTCTCTGATGCTTTTTGAAAACAAATAATATTCTAGAGGTTTTTCTGTAGCATGTGTTGATATGCTCATGTTGGGAATATAGTTCAGTGATGCTTGTGTTTTCTGGCTTTAGGAGAAAGTAAACATTGAGATCTATGATTCTAAATTTGTATTGCCAAACTGAAACTTCTGTGTCTAGAGACAAGTATTTGGGCTTGACTCTGTTACTATTCCTCTCTTTCAAATACAGGTAGATGCTTCAGTTGTATTTCTTACTGGAGTATAACATTACTGCTGTACTTTGTGCTATAAACTGTGTCTTTCTAATGGCATGTTTTTAGTTTTCCTGCTTACGGGTAGATGCTTTTTGACTAGACCTATATTAAAATCTAGACATGCAGACCTGCTCTATAAACACTGAGCAAAAGACTAAAACTGAAATAAGTTTAGGCAAAATTACATTATGAAAAATTGTGAAATGCATATACCTGTTCAAGCATGTGGTTTATCTGTATGTTAAACTTAGAAGGATTTATTGTGTTTGCTGAAGTATTTAGTCATTCAAGCAACAATTTCCTTAACTTAAAGTCAACACTTTGTTGTTTTATTACAATTATAAAAATTGTTTCATTGCCTAAGGATGCAGACACGGTCTGAAAAACACAAAGATAGAGAGAAGAGAATTTTCTTAATGATCAATTCAATATGTTTTTAATTCCAAACAATATAAAGAAAAATTATTTCTGACAAGGTTTAATTTCAGTCTAAAATGATATATGTTCTGTGCTTTAGATAAATGTACAAATGGTAGCATCAACATTATTATAGTGTAATGACTCTCTGCATTTTACCTCATTGGCAGTCACATCAGCTTACTCAGGAATGCAGTTCCAGCCTTTTTTTAAAAAAAAAAAAAAAAAAATCAGATTGAATTGTGCTCCTCACAATGCTGTAATCAGTAATCAATCCTATTTGGATAGATATTCTTAAACCTTGGCTTTCTGGATGAAGTTGGATTTGTCAATGCTAAAGGTCATTTATAGGTGTTAATTAACCAAGAGGGAAATTAACAAATGAAGATTATTTATTTATTTTGTCTGGCATTTTGTAGTGTTCTCATTCTTACTTATTTCAAGTCCAGAATAGTTTTTTGTTATCTAAATTTAGATTTGCTTTAGCAGATTTGGTCTTCATAGAAAACAACATTGTTAGCACAGTCCTTCTGCAAATGTGACCTGTTTCCATCAGTGGCACAGATTTTGGGAGTAAAGTTTAAATAAACACAATATACTTGGAGGGAGATGGAAATGAATTTGAGGGAATGTATTTTGTGTACTAAGATTGAAACAGTAAAATTACTTGGACTCTGCAATATATATATATATATACATATATATATATATATACACACACATACATACACATACATACACACACACACTCAGAATGTACACACTAATGAATCAAACTGAGTAGAAATTATCTTAAATAGAACTCCTGAGAAATCAGTAGCCTCTGTGAAGGAGCTACAGCATGTAATCTGCCTAGTGTTCTTCAGATTAGTATAAAAATAGTTTATATTGCTAATCCTTACAAACAGCATTCAAAACACTTTTTTTTTCCTTATATTATGGAATTCTACATCTGCTGTTATGTTTTAACATCAGAAGTAAAACTTCATAGTAACCATTCAGTGTTCATCAAAATGGTAATATTGTTTTTTTCCCCTGATTCTTAACTAGCCTGAAAGCTAAATACTATGTCTTGTGGTTGGTGCTATGCTGTTTTTGTTTGGGTTTTTTTAAAGAAATGAAAATCTAATAACTGCTGTTGTTTTTCTTTTGTTGTGTGTTTATTGCCCATGGTTATTTGAAAATGGCCTTACTAATGAACCTTGAAGTAAGAAAAAAATATTTTCAGGTCTGGTAAACTGAGGCAAAATCACTTCACCCCTCCCACAAAATTTCTTTT